TAGGGAAATTTGATATTACGACTCGTATAATGTCAAGATGTCCCATGGGGGTAAGCACAAACCACAGGGCGCCATTAAGTAAAATACTTCAGGCATTGCCTCGCCCGCGATGAGTGTCTTTCCAGTATAATTTTTTTTAGTTATCTAAATCTATTCTTTGATAAAAGAGTAACAAACAGATTATACATTGCAAACATCCTCTCAAACTTTTGAATTTATACTATTAGTAGAGCTTCTTCAGCTAGCAATATGGCGGCAAACAAGCTGAAGGATCACCTGATGGTAAGCAATCAGGGTCTATCACAATCATAATGCTGTGGACGTTACAAGTTCGGTGCCTATCTTTTGGGGATTGGTCCCTCACACCGTATCTTTCCCTGTCATTTTTCAAGTAATTATTCTCCAATGACATTCAGATGTGCGTTGCACATTCATAAGCTATATGTTAACAAATTACACAGACCTTCCTATACTAAAACTTACATGTAAGTTTTAGTGCTGAATAAAGATGTAAACATTGACTATCTACCATCCCATGTTAGGAAGTACTTCTAACAAACTACTTACATACAGTTCCACAATAGAAAGGAACGGCAGTCGTCGCGAAACTTTTAAACGATGTGGACTAAGAACTCTTTCCTAACAAATATCCAGGTGACTTAACACGTATAATGCACGTGTAAACTTTGCAATTCTTGTTACAGAAACTTTACATTTTTAACTGTCCAACTTTCGGGTACGTCTGCACCTATAGATATGATTATTCATGTACATGTGTCGCGGAGAACCTAACGGGTAACCGGGGCTCCGGCTCGACGTGCAGGAGAAGGAACGGGGTGGTTTTTAGTCAGTAAGAGTCTGACACTCCCTCCCGCCTCACCCAGGCGGGAGCAGTCAATCGATGACATTCCTCCCTTAAAAAAAAATCATGTACATGTATGTAGGATTTAGAAGGCTAGATGGAAATAGCCTCTTGGTTAGAAAACTTCTTAGTAGGCGAGTCCATCCATGCTGATGCATCTCTTCGAGCAATCCACTAACTATGAAATTGTGCACAACACGGTCGGATTTCGTATAAATAGAGATGATTATTTAATAATAAATAAGTTTTCTAAATTCACAAACTAAAGGTTGGTTGCGATGAACAGTTATAAACTGAAATTAATCTGTTCAATAATAATAGGTACTTACCTAATTATAAATCGAGCTGTATCCCAGCTAGTTCGTCGGTAAACTTTTTCATCTAAATTCCACGTGAAAGTAGATAATAATGTACTCAACCAGCTCAATGCATTTTCCTAATAACAATCTAGATTATTACGGAGTTTCGAAAAAAACCTCAACGTTTAAAAAAATGAACGCAACACATAATTATTATGAAACATATCATATACATCATCACAGGTAACAGTTACTGCACAGTCACTGGACAAGAATACTGTTACAAATCCCGACCACAGCTCAAATAACAGACTTTTATGCGTTGTTGGTTATCAGAATTGGTGTGATCATAACTATGAAGATTCCATACCATGACCTGCCTCATGTGACGGGAGCACGCCTTAGATTATTTGCGGCACTTTCGTAATCATCTTACATTGAAAAAATGGAAATAGAACTCGAGACCACTTGCTGTTTACTACCCTCAACAACAGCAACAACCCTTCTGTCTCCTGCAGTAAATCACCGAGGGAAGTAGAAGTTATAGTTTTTTCTTCTTCTCCTCTTATAATATCTTCTGATTCACTTCGTTGCGGGAACCAAGATAGGTACTCATGTCCCTGGGACGCGCCGGACTTCAGTGTTCCGGTGTTTTCATGGTTGTATCTACTGTAGATCTTGGCTTACAGGAGTTGCAGCGGTTTTGGGAGGTTGTTTTTTTTTCTTTTTTTATTTCATTAGGTATATAATATGACCACTTACAGACTATAAATGATGATAATTCAATACATCTAAATAGAAATATAGTATTTGAAGTGCTGGCCAGAATACGGCAAAAGGCTCGTCTGTATACATACATACATAGCATCTATAGTGAAATTGGGAATTTAAGGCTAATTAAGTTACTTTACTGGTTCCCATTATGAAAAGTTTCATACAAAATATGGAAAATACATTAAAAGTCATCAATTAGACTAACAAAAACCAAATCAGACAATTTGAATGAAACCCTCAATAACTACCTTAAGTAGAGGTATTGTACACTTCTTCGAGGTATAAATGATGTTATTCTAGGTACTTGTTGATGTTGTAAAAATGTCGATAGAACATCTTAGAATTGTATTGTGGTCGATTCATCTCACAAAGTGCAAAGGTGGCAATACGGCAAATTGGTTGCAAACCTTTAACATTTGCCGTAAGATTGTAACACCCACATGATAGATACTTCGCGAATTTCTCAGTGCTCTGTGGTCAATGAACTTTGATACCCTGTAAAAGTGTAAGGGTAATATAATAGCAAAATTTTTTCAAGTTATTTTTATTTCATGAGCGCTGTGAGAAGCATCTTTGAGGCTCAGACGTTTATGTGACTTCTAACCTCTTCAAACCGATGAGGGCGCGAGTTTCAAACTGTCACTTTCCCAAAGTTTTATGAAACTTTCTGAGTAGACATCACTGACAAAACATTGTAAGGAAACTGGACTTAAGTTTTTTTATACTAGGTATACTTAAGTTAGAAATCGCCAATCAGCCTTGACCAAACGTGGTGGTTTGGTCAACCTATCTTCGGGTGAGAAAGGGGTCTACAGTATGTCAGCTGTATTGTGCTTAGATAAATGTAAGCTGTAAGCATATTAAACTCTTCCGACACTGGTGATAGAGCGACAGTCGGACATGCAAAATCTTAAAAACAACAACTGATCATAAAATGGGTAGGAGTGCCTAGATTTTTAAAGACTTGGCAAAGAGGAAACAACTTCTTTGGCTAATTCATGAGTTTAATTAAAATTAAAGAATAAATACCCTATGTTTGAAATAAAGAAGTTATATCTAGAACTAGGACTAAAGTACTAAACTGCCAACATAATGAAAACCTGTTAAATTCGCTAATCAATAATAACACGCAAATATAATTTGTTGGAGGTTGCGTTAAATGAATTTCTCGATAGGAAACTATAACCGAGTGCCGTTAATGCTGAAATTAATATTCGCTTATTTGTCAAGTTGTTAAGGTTTCATATTAATGCTCTAGCGTCACGCCTGCTGCCTTAATTTTTAATTGTTTTAACACGTCAACACGTCTCTTATCAGCCTTCGTTAGCATTACACAAGAATACCTGTAAAGCAGTGTAAGTCACTTTGTATTGATTTCTTTAAATTTAATTTATTAACAGTTATGTTTGTATTCTTGACTTATTCTTATATCTAAGTCTAAACGTAGAGATAAGAAAGTAAAATATGATATTATAATTTTTATGTTTTTGAAAGTTAAAAGTTTAATGTCTATATACTTAGGTATTTCGATATTTATTAATATTAGTGTGATTGTTCTTAATAATATTTTTGGTGTTTGAAACTGTTTACAGTTTCTAGAATGTCTTTAGAAATATTTTTTTAAACTACTTGCGTAGGTCATCGGTCCTAACTCCTAACCCAATAGAAGTTCATATATTTTAATAAACATTATTTTATTTGCTTTTTCTCTCACGTTAACATATTCGCTACTTTCAAACAAGTCTCTCAGCCCCTTTTTCTACGTAACACTGATAATTTGTCGGGAGTTACATTCAAACGGCGCGGCCCATCAAAATGCATTACTCTCTAAATATTACAGATTAATATACCCATACAAGACATGTTTGTTATTACAACAGCTGCATAAAGTCAAGCAAAAAAAAGATGTCGGTCCGCAAATTCTCTCCGCTATTTAGTCCCAAACATTCAAAAAACGTATTAGCAATAATTTTTTGCGCCATCTCAATTCTGAAAGCAAGAAGCTACCGACTTTCCGATGTTATTATTGGTTTCGCTTTTGTTGTTAACCCTCGGGCGCGCACCAGGTCTTTTCGACCGAACTCATCCGATCCTTTATCCCGATACTTACAGGGATTATCCGAAACTAATTACCTGTTTTGCGAGTCCATAATTACGTTTGCAAAAAGTATGCAATCCAACATCTAAGTGACCGACAGAGAAACCAGTGACAAACTGCTACTGTTCTGTTGAGACCGAACGTTCTTTCTTGATGCAAACAAAACGTCAATTGTTTGATTTCTAAGAATGCTTTATCTGTGTAACTCCTGGTCTTCCAATAGTATCGCTTGTTAAATCGTATTTCGTTATTGAATTTAACTATGTTTCATTTAGAAGATAAGAACGAAAATTTTACATAATTTTTAAGCATTTTTGAAATAATTGTACAATAATAGTCTTCTAAAAATATTTATTGTTGCAATTATCTATATAATTCATTACCTTAATAAAATCATATCTATTTTATTTACCTTTGTATATTATTTTTTGTTATTTTCATTTTGTATAAACATATTAATAATTCAAATTTATGTCATTTCTCATTAATTGAAGCCGTCAAAAGTTTTACTTCAGTCAGTTAGTACTGAAGTAAAACATTTAATATGAATATGTACAAAAGCGAATAATTAATATCTCAATAAAAGTACAATTCCGTTCACACGCACATTGTGGCATAATGATTGTAAGTGTTCTAAACCAAACGGTACCACTCGATGGGTCTGCAATAACCGTTTATACAAAGTGGCTACTAGAACAATAGAAATAATGAACAAAAATACGAGTAGCTCTCAGCTTTGTGACCAAAAGATGTCAGCCACAAAGCCAAAATACAATAGAACTTTATTTTCTTACATTTGTTGCTATTCTTGATTGATTCCTTTCTTTACATTGAATCTCGAGTGCTCTTGAAAACCGCAAGCGAAAGATTTGCACTTGAGAATTTATTATTTCTCGCGATCGTTCCTGTGTGAAAATGTTTCTTAAGCTCCGAATACCTTTTAAACATTTAACTATTTTCTTTACAGATATGGTGACGAAATAGCAGGTCGACAATGCATTCCGTATCGGCTTCGTCAAGTGAGTACTTAAGTTTAAATTAATTTAGTTATTAGTTAAACAAATATACATCTAGTTAGTATTAATAACCGTTATCCGTCATTCAATACAAATAGTTAAAACTAAATAAATACGCCGGACATTAATATATTGTTTTATTACCGTATATTTCACCTCCACATTCATCAGCAGTTAATTATCAATGTATGAGATGACGTGTCCCAGCCAATTTGACCCATCAGCGTTATTCCCACGAGGTGCGCATGCGCATCTGCTACTGTTTACACCCCCACCCCGTGGAACGCGAAATGTAGTAATACCGTTTATTACATTTGTTTTTTTATGATTCTAATATTTTCAATGTATTTATCGTTTATATAGGTAGTAAATTAATAAAACAAAAACTTACCGAACTAAATTATTCCAATAACATTATTTACAAGAAATTTAACGCAACGTAACTTGAAAATGTTAGGTACGTCTTCTGATTTCTTGATGACTGTAGTATTACATTTTAATAAAAGAAACATAATGAAAATATTTATTACTTTAATCTTATTTTCACGATAAATACGATTTACTAACTAACCATAACAATATTAAAAACAGTGCAAACAAAACATACTTAATAAAATAGAAAAATATGAGGTAGGTATGCATAAAACAAAATACAATCTTTTACACCAGTACCTAGTACTTACCTATCTATTACGTTACGTTTTGAACAATGACCACATATCATATTCACAAGTAGGGTTCACATTACCTATCAACAAAAGTCACACCAAAATTGATGTGGGAACTCAATACGCGAGATATTTCAAATAAATTGTTATTTAAATAACATCCTTGATTAATAATCATCATGCGTTTGTTTTGACCCTAAGTTACGGTAGTCACGCCATGGGATCACACGCGCCGGGGTCCATTTGACACAGGTGGGCATTCGCACGGTTGATAAAAATCGAATGATGAGCCTATTTAACCTAACCGTTTGAAAGTTTATGAAGAGGAATTGATGTTTAATAAAAAATAATATTGATAGTTTCGCGCCATAAAATAACTGAATCGTCAGTCACTTTAAAATTGGCAACACTTAATGAAAACTCTGTAGTAAATATGTACAGCGCTTCCACGCTCTGAAATAGTCAGTTCACGTTTCAACGAACTTTCCAATAATGCTGTTTTATTTTAAAGTTTATTTATTTAAGAACGTATACACACACATACAGCAGTGAGAACGACAAGTAAAGGGGCAAAAAAGCAGGCAATACACTATTCGCATTGTGAAGATCTTTTATAATAATATTAAGTTGTCTTTAAACTGGAACGTATAATTATCTATCTCGGCGATATTGTTCCAGCTCTCCTTCAAGTTTTGTTTAGCATTTCTTACCGAACACTCGACACCGCGTTTCCTGCATCGCAAGTGTATTCACGCATTCATTGTGGGATGTCTTATTCAGTTTGCCTTTATGCCTTTTTGACTGTTCGCTTTGGGACAATACAGGGTCTTATCTTCCCAGCCGTGGGATCAGGCCATGTTTTGTATTGATTTTCTAGAGTACCGTGTCAATGTACACAAATTATAGAATGATATATTTCGTACAATAATAGATAAGTGGTATATCGATTAGTTAGTTTATTTTGTGACTAAAAGTCTATCTGTTAATATAATCTAGTTATATTTTATGACTAGCTTCTGCCCGCGACTTCGTACGCGCAATCCCATCCCCCCCCCCCCGTTCCCGTTGGTGATTTTCGGTAAAAATAAAAAAAAAACTTTTAGATAAAAAGTATCCTATGTCCGTCTCCTGGTTCTAAGCTACCACCCCGCCAATTTTCATCCATATCGATTTAGTCCTTCTTGAGTTATAAATAGTGTAACTAACACAACTTTCTTTTATATATATAGATAGAGCAAATTCAAAAAATAACAATTAGGTACAAGAAATTTACAGTCCGGTGGCGTTACAACTATGTAATGAATCGTCATTTAGTTGGTATGTTTTATTAAACTATCAAACACCGCGAGGACACCGATGACCGCAACCTATTGTTCTTTAACTGTGTCTATAATGGCGGTACTCAAAGGGTCAAATCAACAAAGTTAGGTAGAAGTAAATCGCTAACAGATTCATCAAACCCGATGTGACGTACATAGGAACTATTATTACCTATGTATGTCACATCGGCATTCCATCAAAAAACTAGAGGACGGAACCCACAACCAGCTTGTCTCCTATTACAAGCAATTCATGGTACCGTCCGAAGTTTTTATAAAAGCCCAATGAATACCACGACCTTATGCTACCGACATCGACAGTCCTCTTTCATTTATACAACCGTACATTCACAAGCAGTCTTTTCCGACAATATTTTGACACTGCAATCATCGTTTCTTCACTGAATGAATGATAAATTATTCCATCTTTAGTGGGTTTTTTTTAAGGGGGAAATCATCGAATGACTGCTCCCGTCTGGTTGAAGCGGGAGGGAGTGTCAGACTCTTACTGACTAAAAACAACCCCGTTCCTTCTCCTGCTCGTCGAGCCGGAGCCCCGGTAATCCGTTAGGTTCTCCGCGAATCTTTAGTGGGTACAATAATTTGATTGACAAACATTTTGCTTTATATTCATAGCACTTTACGTTCCAACAATATCTTACTTACAAGTACCAATAAATAGGCCCCGAGATTTTGTTGTCTAACTAACTGTACCTCACTTAAGAATTTAATCCAAAAAGCCCTTACTCGATAGTGGCACTATTAAGTTCATACCATACTTAACACCAACACGGCGTTTTTTACTTTGGGAACAATAGAAAAGGTTGTGAACGCGCTGTCAGCGCGCGGGCGGGACGCTTATATATTTTTGTATTTACGTTATAAAATAGGTATAATTAATAATTATATCATACAACATACGATATATTTAAGTGACAATTTAATTGCTGGGCTAGTGCCGTGCCGGAGATGAGCCATATAAATGTAACTACTATAACCTTTCCGTTTTATGTTATTATTCATTTTTATTACGTTTGTGTTGTCAAAAAGCCGAGCTCTGTAACTTCACACTCAGTAACCACCGCACTTGTGACAATCATTCACAGTTTCATCACAGTTTCTAGTTTCTACTATAATTCTAAGAAAAGGCATCTGAGTATTTATTTATTTATTTATTTAAGGACAACCAACAAAGCATACACCAAAATACATGATAGGTTTTTTTTTCATAATATTTTAACACTCTATAGTGTAGCCTTAATTACAGGCTGCCACGACATGCATTATAAAAGAACAGGATATTACAACAAAAAAGAAACAAAGTTCGCTTATCAAAAAAAAAGACATCAATTTCAATCACAATTGTTAAATTTAAGTTTTTACTTCTTTTTAATACAACTGGAATGGTTATATTGTGTATAAGGTTTTGTGCAATATTTCGCCGTTTGTGTATATGTATGTAATTACGTAAGTTAAAGTTATAATTCGTTTATGGAAAAATTAACCCATTAGACGTAGGTACTTGATTACGAACCTATGTTTCGTCACTCGCATTGTAAATTGTAATAGCGATGAGTCTATTATCGACGGGTACTAATTGTCTTGTCTTGTCTCCAAACTCATTGTCAAATTGTAAATCGGAATAGAACTTTATTTAACCAAGTTTATTCCTGTCGCTTATCGAGTGAGAATCACTAAACTAATATAATAAATTAAAATGTACTAGAAATGCTATTTGACTCTTCACATATTTAATAAAAACACAGCTTCGTGAGCTTCGCCTACTCTCGAGTCGCATAGACAACACAACCATTGTCGGTGCTTAGCGTAGCGAGCCTCGTAGCGCGGCGCGTAGCATCTCTCATGTGGAGCGTAGCAAGTTACTAATCAGTAATTGACGCGATAAACTTACTAACAAGATGTTATATATTTTTAATATACAGGATGGAATTTTGTAATACCATCTGAAGGGGAAGTACTCATACTTTAGATAGAAAATTTTACTCAAAGAAAACATTTCTTTATTTTTGGAAAGAAAGAAAACTCCATCCAAAAATTTTTTAAATTCGCTTGTCGCACACGGTAATCGAACCGACTAAAATCTGTAAAAGTTGAAGTTGTAGTTTTATTGCATCACATCATCACCATTACCAAAGCTATCACAAGTGAGTGAGAAGTGTTGTGGAATTCGATTCTTTGGTCTGGTAGAGCATAAATTACTTTTTTTGTTATAAATTCCTAAGAATAGTTCGGAGTCTGGAATTTTGCCTAAGGTTGAACCAGATTTATCCATTAAATTATACAAATACATTCGATATACTACATAATCTACATTCATAGTCACATAACAAAGGCTTAAGTGTAACGTAACACCCAACATGATAATTTAGTCTAAAATCCTGGAATTAAAACCCGTTGCTTGGCAGTCATAGTCACCATCTCGTTGATAAACCGCTGGCAATAAGTTAGAGATATCCCCGACCAGTGGGCGGGGCCCCAAGCTGGGGCCGGTGGTATCGCGGCTGGATAGCCGGGCGCAAACACTCAATGCTGTCAGCTCACTTTGATTTATTAGCTTAAGACTGCCTATACATTGAAGCAGAGAGATCGGAGTGGAGGAACGTAGAAATATTAACCAATAGGATTGTAGATAAACTGGAATGGTTATGTTGTATAAGGTTTTGAGCAATATTTCGCCGTTTGTGTATATGTATGTAATTACGTAAGTTAAAGTAATAATTCGTTTATGGAAAAATTAACCCTTTTGTGCGTACTAACAATATAATAATATATATATAATTATAATTATAATATATATATATATATATAATTTATCTATGATTAAGTATAAGTATACCTACACACTGTATGTGATACTGAACTGGAGGTGCACGTACTGAACTGTAAGCAACAAAGATACACCATATTATGTTATAAAGATTTTAATGAATATTGTTTCTTCCTCCAGGTCGTATACTGTACGACGTGCCGTGTGCAGTGTGTAGCGATCATTCTTCAGGCAAGCACTATGGTGTATTTGCCTGCGATGGCTGCGCGGGCTTCTTCAAGCGATCCGTACGACGCGATCGACGCTACTCGTGCAAGGCACGGAACTCCGGCGGCTGCATCGTCGACAAGGCTCATAGAAACCAATGCCGCGCCTGCCGCCTAGATAAATGCCTGAAGGTTGGCATGAACAAAAATGGTAAATATCTCATTTGGCGTCACAGTGACAGCATACGTACCGATATTTCAACAAGAATTCTACAAATATGGTTTTTGTTTCAGCCGTACAACACGAAAGGGGTCCCCGAAATTCCACCATACGGCGTCAAATGGCGCTTTTTTTGAAAGATCCACCGTCAGGCTCCGACATACCGGTACCAGGACCTCCTCCGCTAAACCTGGCCTTACCAAAACATAACTTGGTACCGCCGCCACCATTACCACTGTACAATCCATACAATTATCCACCTATGGGCATATTTAATACTCCAATTACGCCCATGCTGGCGATGCCGCCATCACCACCTATTTTAAACCCGCCGATGTTCAGGCCCAGCGACCCATCAACTATTTGTGAATCAGCTGCTAGGCTGCTTTTCATGAACGTGAAGTGGTCACGAAACATTCCAGCATTCGTCAATCTTTCCATGGAAGATAGACTTGCCCTTTTAGAAAACTCGTGGAAAAATCTATTTATTCTAGGGGCTGCCCAATTTCTTTATCCCATGGATTTAAACATGCTAGTAGATAGGAATATTTCAATTGTAGTTAATAAAAAAGAAATTGAATTCTTTGAAAGATCATTAGAAGAAATATCAAAATTAAATCCGGATGCGAATGAATATGGTTGCCTTCGGGCCATAATGCTCTTCAATAGTCGCTTAGACAAGGACGGCGGCGGCAGTCCCAACAGCATCAGCTCGGAGAATAAGAAACTGCAGAACGTTGCCGCCGTCGCTCTCCTCGAGGAACAGTCAACTCTCATGTTGAATGAGGTAAGCCTCACAATCTAACCGACCTCATAATTAAAGCTATTAAGTAATAAAATAATAAATTAAAGATTAAAGAGAAAAAAAACATTGATATAAACAATTTGTTTCCAGTATTGTCTCCGGGCATATCCACTGCAGCTACGCAGGTCAAGCCGACTCATGGGCCTGATACCCATCATCAAGAACGTGCCAAGCTTTACCATCGTCGAGCTGTTCTTCCGAGCTACTGTTGGTGACATCCCGATAGAACGGATCCTAGCTGATATGTATACAAATGGAAGAGCTGTATAATGACTACGCCATATTTAAACACCTACGCCATAATTAACTCGTCGAGTACCGGTTTTATAGACACAATTAAAGAACAATAGGTCGCGGTCACCGGTGACCGCTCGGTGTTTGACAGATTAAGGAGATGTTTAATGATTACGCCATTGTTAAACAGCTACGCCATAATTAAAGAGCTGTTTAATGATTACGCCATTGTTAAACAGCTACGCCATAATTAAAGAGCTGTTTAATGATTACGCCATTATTAAACAGCTCTTCTAATTAAAATTTCTCTAATAATGTTTTCATAATAAACATCCTATGTACTATCAATTTTAAGAGGCAATCGAGTTTATCCAATGTCATATAAACACAAAATTATTTTAAATCCTAGGTCTCATTTGTATACTATTAGCTAATTCGTATTCCGTAAACTTATTTCCATATCAATCTTCGCTTCCATTCTATAGATCACATTAGAGAGCATATCGTAGTCTTAATTTTCACTGATATCATTAAACTATGTGCTAGAGTTGACATACGTGTAGACATAAACTTACTTAATCAAATTATTATCAAATACAGAAAACGTACTTAATAAATTCAACTCTTTATTATATTGGAAGATGATTGATGATGATGATTACCCTTTATGATTACCTAATTATAATAAGTATGTAGATGTTTACCAAAAAGTAATTCCTGTAGTGTAGGTTTGTAGTAGGAGTAGATATGTATGTACAAATCACTTGAATATACTAATTTTCCTATTCACTTCATGACATTAAACTTAAAATCATTGCCTAATTATTGCATATCCATTATTTACGTAGTCTTTAGCATTTAAAGAAGTCTATTCTATAATGTTATCTATTACTACATACTGATGTTTTTAAATACATATGCTTAGGTAATAATAGACGTTTAAAAATGACATAATTAATATTTGGATAAGTTTTATCCCCTTCGTAAGAAATACATTTGGATTATAGGAGAGCTGATCTGTCAATATTTTATGTATATAATCGCTTTCCATTATCACGTGGTCTCCTACACCATTCCGAGTTATTGTTACCACACCAAAAAAAGACAAAAGAAGAACATTCCTCAATTTTTTCATAGTACATCTTAGAATATCGGTTTATTAAAATTATTAGAAACATATTATTAATTGTTATTGTCGATGTGTACAATCATTGTTTAAATTATCGTTGTCGTATTCGATGTCGGATTAGCAGAATATCAATAGTAAATGGTATAATAAATAATAACATTATAACTGAACTGAAGAATAATATACTTACCTACTAAAATCAATTTACTGTATTTAGTTAAACACAAGAAAATACTTTCTACCGTTTTTACACGTTTTAGTTTTTAAAAACCTAAAAGAGTAACATAGTACCACAGATGTTGATCTTAGATAGGGTACCATCATAGTAATTTTAAAAAGGTATGTCAACTCAGATTCAATTAAATTATTCATTAAATATTTCTTATTAGGTAGGTAAAAAAGTATTGTTGCTGTTAGAACATCTTGCTGTACATAGCTATTAATAAAATATTGAATATACAAGTATGTAAATAACGAAAATACCATATTTTGCCTGTACTGTTCACAGACTCGTTGGCCTCGTTGCCCGAGTGGTCGCGAGTGCGACTGACAAGCAAAGTATTACTGGGTTTTTAAAAATCTCATTAGTAGCACGGAGTCTGGAAATATGCCCGGTATATGGCATAGGCTCACCCCCTATTACATGGGACTCATAACATAATTAGTGAAAAGTGGGTGTTATATTGTACAGTGGCATTAAGTGCCGTAATGTGCACCTCTGCCTACCCCTTCGGGGATAAAAAGACAAATATCCGCATAGTGGTTCCAGATTAGAGAATAATTACGTTGTATATTTTAGTAGGTGGTCAAATCTTGGAATTGATCATCGTCATCTATGCTTGACGGCTGAAAGAGTCAGAGAAGTATCTATTACGGTCCATGGTCTTGAGAGCTAAGCCCAAAAGTTCCTGAGATTGAAAAGTCGTTCTCGTGTGAATAACTTAAAGTGGAATTATGCTAACGATATAGAACTTGACACACTTCAAACTGAAATTTATAATCGATCTTAATAAAATCTTTGAATTAGGATAATTTTTTACCTTTACTATGGATGATGACGGGATATGAAAATTAAAAATCTAATTAGTCCTTCAGTTAGATAATGAAAAAATATTAGACGCACATTTTTTATTATGTCGTAAAATAAAATAATACTTAGATAAAATGAATTGTAGTTTAGGAGTGGGAGCTAAAACGTCATTTCTACGTAGATATAAAATGTACATAGAAGTGACGTCACGCGACATTTCAAATTAATAATCATCGAAATTATTCGTTTCTGAAAGAAAATAAAAAATATATGTCTTATGTTTTAAAATAAACTACTAGACGGACATTAAAATAAAAATTAGGCATCTACCCTATTGTGTGGGGAAACTGTTAAAAGTTCAGATCGATCTATTAGATTTTGGAATAGGATAGGGTATCAATATCGGCGTAATGCTTACAAGAACTTAGGGTCAAAACTTTTCGTAGCAATTACCTAGCTAGGTAATTATAATATTTTAGGCATATAACCAATATTTAAAATCTAAGATAAGGTCTCATCGACGTTGTCTTATAGTTAGCATCAACATCTTACATAGGTAATAATAATATGAAATTAATTGATAAAACATAGGATATTATGTTCTCATTCTCTGTGTCTAATATTAGAAAATTGTAGTTCCTTTGTCAATGTTACATAGTTAGTATTTAATAAGTGAATGTTATATAGGTAATGCTTTCAATGTTTGAATTAAAATACAATATAAGATTGGTTTTACAATAATAACTAGATTTAACATTTCAGACCTTAATAATCAAAGTAGTGAATCAAAAAAATAAATTCGGAAACATTGATGAAAGAAAATTCTAGTCAAAATTTTAAATTTTCTCAAAAGTAGGACGTTATGGCTGTAGTGGCTTAATATGTATAAACTTATCGCAAGTAGAAATTTTAACTATTATTCGTAGATCATTTAATGTAACTAGCGTAAAAATGTAATAGCCGTTATAACTTCTCGAATCGTATGTATCTTCTCGAAATAAATTGTAATGTAAAAATAATACCTACCCTTATGATACTGGAATTATTATCAAATTACGAATCAGAAATGTCACGTAAAACAGAATAATACATTTACCATCCATTGTTAAAAAAATGCCGGGCAACGAGTCTTGGGTTCGATTCCCAGGTCGGCCAAAGTATTACTGGGTTTTTAAAAAATTCTCAGTAGTAGCACGGAGTCTGGAATTGTGCCCGGTGGCAATAGGCACACCTCCTATTACATGGAACTCATAACATAAATACTGAAAAGTGGGTGTTACATTGTACAGTGGCATATTGTGCACCATGGTCTACCCCTTCGGGGATAAAAAGCGTGATGTTGTGTCAAAAAATCATAATTTAAACTAAGATATTTATTTACTCTGGATCCAATTGTTAATGATATATTCTCTCTAATGTATACTTGTATCTAAGTGTTACTATTGTACATAATATTTCTAAATGTGAAGCTTTAAATATACCTATTAAATGTCTATTACTAATTTGTTATCATTTCAACATCACAGACCTTGCATGAATATAATATAATATATAAATATCAAACATGTAAATAAGTAGGTACATAATTGTATTATGACCACTAAAAAAACGGTCGTACTCAGAATCTTTTGATAATTACTTAATCCTTCTTTTGATAATAATTATTTACCGCATAGCATTTGTTTTCGGAACAAAATAAGGAACAGCTAATGCTCTGTGTGCGACAGTTAGCTGTATATTACCATTAGATCCGGAGTTGAGGAAATCAGCAAGCATTGAAGCCAACATGTCAAAATAATAAGTAATTCATGAGTTTAATTACCTTTAAAATTTTAATTTGTAGGTATTTATATTGCAACGGGAATAAAATAAGAAGAAAATAAACCCATAGAATCAATTGAAAACTAAACCTAATGAAAAATGTCTAGTACATAATAATAAACCGAATGGTTGACACACCAAAGATAAGTTATAGGACATAGAAAAACATAGTCTTTATAGAATCATGTAGGACAACGTTGTCATTTAAAGAAAAAAAAACATACAATTGAACATAAAAAAAATAATTTGTCAGGTAGGAATAGGGACCTAGGAAATTGAACCGAAAATACCACTTCCCTGAACGGGGAACTAACGTAAATCAATAATAATGATGTGCCCCCTAAACAAAATGACGGACAAACAGTCAAACTACACCACGTCAGCGGCATGTGTGTGTATTATTGTGCACAAATCCCCGATTAATCTCAAACTTTTATGAGCTTTTGTTCACTTTCTATTGAGAATTTTTTGTGGGCTCATCCCATCAACAAAAGCAACACTTTCAATACGAAATACAACTTTACCAAATGTACTTAGAGTCTAATTTGCTTTTACCTGCGAATTCATTAGCACACCCCTAAGTTTGGACTCTTTGATCCATGCAGTTAAGTTTAAATTCTTTTGGCAAAGTATGCAACAGGCGCGTATTAACTTTTAAAGTTTATAGATTTCGGTCGCGTCAATCTGTGTATTGTCATATCAGACATAATAGCTATCCCATCCTTACGGATTTATTGGTTGAAACCCGATGACAGTTGCTCCGGTTTTTGACAAATTTGTTTCTGTGTCCCTTTCCCACTGGGGCGCATTACGATTTGAGAATGAGATAGAGAATGGAATAATGTCGAAATAAAAGACCTACTTAGGAAAATATGGTTGTTATAGAGTGAATTTAATGAAGTATAATAGGGTGACAGTTCTTTATGTGCGTGTCACCATGAGGGACGTGACAATATTTCTGAATGTGACTTATTGTCGTCGGTTAATGCGCCCCAAAATATCTTGTAACCAATTTTATGAGTCAGTTTTTTGACGCGTTGGGTTACTGCAGAATAAAGCGAGTGAGACGCACTTCATATGTAAATATTGCATTCTATTCACACTCCGACTCCGGGAATGTTTAGTCGCCGAGTCTCTACAGATAGTGAAAGGAAGAGATAATGCTCCCGTATCTATTGCTATGTCATCAGCAGATGTTTTTTTTGCCTTAACTTACACCATGTTCATAGGTTGGTAAATACGAGGTTACATTTCATTAATTCTAGTTAGGATTAACCTAACCGGTAGCCGTTCAGAACAAAGTCGAAGTACATTTCCAGGAACCTTTAAGCTGAACTGAAAATACCCAGTTATTTACTGCCATCTGATGACTATTGTCATTCAGTCATCAGATGGCAGATAAGTACTAGCTTTTGTCTTCAAAGCCTAAAGCAAAGCAAAGATTTCCGTCCGTCTATCCGTCAGTGAAGCTAGGTGCTCGTTCCTAAGTGTAAGTAGTATCAAATGGAGAAGAACGAGCAAGAAACCCCATAATTATCCTTTTTAAAAAAATTACAGTATCATTAATACATGTCTGAAATCTTTCAATGCCTGTGTCGAAGAACAATGTTAAAAACATCCTTGTTGCATTTTAAGACCTCATTACGTCGTTTCAAGGGCATTGACCTCTTGAAAATTGTATGGTTACACAGCGAAACTGAAATGTCAGAAAGAGTTACGTTTATTTTAATTTATTGTTTGATCAGCGACAAACTCTAAGATACCTACCTATAAAATACCGAATTAATGGGCGTAAGTATCTATCTGTATTGCTGACGAGGAACGGTACTTCATGTATTTCCCACCCTAAATAAAATAAATCATCACGAACACTAGGTCATCTCGAACAAGCAATTTTGAATAGGTATTACCTACCCATGTTAAGAGAATAGTGTTTCACTCTTAATTAAGCTACTGATGTGTACAATGTTTACAGTACAAGGTCAAACATTGTGTAAGTAGCATGTGTACTGTGTACATCGATAAATAACATAAAATATTTTATTTTGATTAAATAATTTTGTGTTTAATTTTTATATTTGGTCTTTCGATAAAATTATGCACTCCTACATAATTAATTATCATTATTACGATACCTTCACATCATTAAGGGCCTTAATGATGTGAAGGTTAATTTAAGGCTCATACTGTATTATATATATGTTTTGGTAGGCGGGTAGGCATATTTTATGTTGCAAACGTCCAAATCATACTTATTTTTAATTTTTCAAAAGCGCCATCTATTAATCTATAGTTGAAATTTTAATAGCTATATTACTGCTAAAAATTGATATCAGTGACATCTGTCGATTGAATGATAAACTACAAGACTGCCTAATTTTAGAAGTTTCTTTTTACGGAGAGTAATTACTTATTAATATTTTTGATACTTTTAGTACTTTATCTTTTTGAGTACTTTCATTTTATTCATTATAACTTCTATTTATATTACGTAGAATCTTAGATTACGATGCCGATTGTAAATATGGTGTTGCCATGTAATGACACAATTATTATTATAATAATTTTATTTCTGAAATATTGGCATTGTTTGAATTGAAATAATAATATTTAAATATAAAGTTCCAGTGTTCCGAAATTAATAATGTATCAGCTTCACTTACACATTGGTCATCGAATACTCAATTTCATCACTCACGGATTTACTTAAGAATATTAAAGATAATAATTCTGTATAAAAGATCTATGTAATAATATCGTTATCCAAATATTAAATATTAATCATCAATAAATCATCATGTAAAGTAATTTCGTTGTTACTATGTAGTAATCACTTTACTTGAATATTCACAGATGGCGCTGTTATAAGATTTTGATACTGAAAATAGAGCAACATCAAACATGAATGATGACACACTGAGAAACTTTATTGCAGCTGAGAGTTTCTTATGTCCTCGGTTTAAGATTCAATAAAGATTTCGTCCGTAATATAAAGTTTGATTGTCAAATTGTAGGACACAGATAGAGAAGACCGCGCGGTTTGGAAGTATTTCGTGCTTGTGCATGTGTGAGTGTGCGTCTGTGTGCGGCAGTGCGGCAGCAAGTAGCTGTCAAATAACTAGTGGATGAAAAACGAGTTCACTTTTTCCTACAAAAATGATTTCTATTACGTTAATAGTTTAGTTAAGAGTTATGTACGCCTTTAAATACCCTATAAGAATATATTAACTTGTTATTTAACAAGCAGTACTTACGTTCACTACAAAAAAAATGGTTCAGTTGCATCCACCGTTGCAACTCGAGGAAATACCAAAAGAAGACGAAGAAAGGCTAGAAAAATTGTTTTCTAAATTAGACACCGATGGAAATGGAAAGATCGACATCCACGACCTGTCTGTCGCCCTCAAGGAGTTGGCTCCGCACATCAACCGCAGTTATGCAGAGGTTAGAATGAACATTTCCTATAATTTTTGCTATAACGGTTTCACCTTCCAACGATGTGATCGGTTACCTGCCGACACGTATGCCACGGTAATTCTACTAATCTCATGTTTAAAACTTCATGTGTCGCATTTTTCAAACCTAGAATTTTCTCATTACATAAAACCTCATTAGGTATATATTTCCGTTCCTATTTTCCATTTGTTAATGAAAGTTGCCAGTAACTTGTAATTAGTTGAGTGTGCACTATTTTCTAAATATCTATAGGTAAAATTCATAGCTTGCATTTTTTACGAAAATATTCCACCCTCATTTTTTAATGCAATTTTTTATCGTAGTGCAGTTAAAGTTTTAAAGTTGTCAAAAATTGAAGTTACTTCAACAATAAATCATTGATAAAATATCAAATGTCAAGATTTATTTTAAAAATTGTTTGGTGACAATAGATAATCCCATCACTAGTCTGTGTGTGATATATTTGAATTTCATGAATTACCACAAACTTATCTGATTGATCTTGACACCTATGATCTAAATGACAATAAGTAATCTTGAAAGGAGAGGAAGTAGATTATCAAAGAACTATTGTAACTAGAAAGACTTTTGTCCAATTGATGTTCTATGTATATCTCTATGTTTAAACTTAACTTCACAGATTATCTTGAAACTTGACCTTCTTTGCTTTAGAAATATTCCTTCCTTTTATATTCCTAAATTTCCATAACCATCAGTCACTGTTGTCTTTTTTTTTTTTTAATTACTCTAATGACACTAATTTCCCTTGACCACCATCCAAGTAGGTTAAATAATGTGTCTGGTCTTTTTATGATCATAAAACTTTTATTTTTTTTAATTATAACACCTTATTGTTTTGCACCTACATTAATTGACTAATGAAGCTAGGGTGCCTCAAGTATGTAAGGAAACAAGTTAAATTTTCCTTAAAATTGTCTACAAAATGCTGTACTATAATAGTAAATGCTGACCTACTTTTTGACAGCTTCAGCAGTGGTACATTTTATGTCTATTGTGGGACAATTGTTGCAACCTCACCAGTGGGCACATTATATAATAGTACACTCTCAAATGCTGCATAGAAAAGAAATGAGTTTACCCTATTTATATAACTACTTAAAATCATTTCTAAATGCATTTTTATAATGTATACCTGAGTAATGCTGCCTTTTAAATCATTATAATTAATTAATTATTTACTTACTTGTTTCTCATACATGTTATGCATTGTACACATACAATACATGCTTGTGTACACCTCTTTATAAAGGTGTGAGTGTCACCAATTATTGTAATGACAAACCTTAATTAACGTCTAAATTAAACATCCCGGTTGGTGACTTGATATTGTTATAGACTTATATTTATTTACAAGTTACTTATATTAGATAAAACTCAAAAAGTACATTATTATATTTTATTTAATAAAGAAAGATTTTTTTGACCAACATGAACACCATATTGAAAAAAGTTCCCAAGTCCGCTTACTGCACTAAAATACTGACTATGGTAGATACTATTTTATTGTCATAGCAAATAAATACAATACACTTCTAAAGCTAGGGCAAATAATAAATATTTTATCAAAGCTTAATATGCTTGCTTATCTTATTGTTTCTAATCAGTCTGTCAACATACTGTTTTAATTTACATTTCATGTACAACAAACTGCCCTGCTGGGTTTGAAACACCTTTTCCCCATCCAAATGTGTCTTCGTACAAAATGACGTAACACCATGATTCATACTGAGCTTATTGTCTTAGTAACCTTACTGATTTTATTGGCTGACAACACCTATCAACTCGCGTACGACAATTAACAGATGTTTGACATCCATTGAATTATTTCTAATCTCGTTGGCGGCAGCATCGCGCCCCAATCAAGCGAGCCGATGAACAAACAATCGATATCCTATTTCGATAAAAATAAGCTTGGTTTAGTTTCTACATGACCTTCAGTGCTCCATACTGTATCTTATTTCCTTGCAATAATAGTCATATTAGCATAAATATGTGCAATGCGACTTCCGTACTGATGGGCTGATAAAACACATTGTTATTAAACACAATTATAATATCACCATGAATTATGGAATTATTCTAATACAGATATATATAATTATGTATTGTACTACTTCATGTTACCCTGCGGTTGTTTTGTAGCACGCGATAGGGAACATCCCGTATACATATTTTAAACGTTAAATAATTTGGATTTAATTATAAAGTTTTTATTTAAATTCATTTAAAATTTTACTTTAATTAAAATACACAGTCTCTATATGGGTAGTTATAGTTACATACCCTACATTCGTACAACTTATGTCACGCTTATCATCCTACTTATAGTTTTTATTCGTAGTTACGTAATTTAGTTACGCTCATACTAACGTTAAATGTCATTATTTTCCAGAAATTCTTGGCAAAGCCTGGCTGGAAAGATGGCGGTGACGTCACCATGTCAGAATTCATGCACTACGTGCGCGAACACGAGAAGAACCTTAGGCTCCAATTCTCTCACCTTGATAAGAATCAAGATGGTAAGTATCTCTTATCGTACAAAGTCAATATTTTCCTTGCCATTAGTGTGATTGGTCGTTCATTACTTAGCGGCAATCTATCGCAAATCACCTTTTCAGGTCGGCCTAAAGCTAACAAGGGTAGGTTGATTGAAGCTGTCGATACTTCGATAGTCGAGTCGTTATCTGCGCTCGTTAACATTGACATTCCCGTACAACGTCAGTAGTTTACGCAATGCACAGCCGGTCGTGAGGGCCACAATAACCTTTACGTCTTTATAAAAATTAGATGACGGCGCCCACCCTAAGGCTTCGGCACTCGACCGCTGTATGGATTCATACTCACGATTAATGTTTCGCAATAATATTGAAGGCTTTGTTTTTATAACAAAACATGTGAAATTAAATCAGTGCCTTAAATTATGGTTATTTTTCATTATATGGAATTAACTTATTCAAGGTAGCATAAGCATCCAGACTGCGAGGTATCTAATGGCTTCTATTATCGTCAATAATTTATGGGCATTGAAAACGCGACTAGTCGCCTGTACGACTGGACAATACTATTGTATTCTACCGGCGCGGCAATATGATCAACACTTCGCATACGTCTTGACAGCACGGATGCGTGACATTCGTACGTTCATTAATAGTTAGATAGAATGCATTACAATAAATTAGCATTACTATTAATGATGCCAGCTATGCACCCAATAAAATATGCACGTGTTCGATGTTCTATATATTTGTGTGCAGAGCAAAGATAACTACAAACCATTCTATTATTATTGTCTTATAACAGTCTTATGATCGGTGCACATCTGCACATGTCGTCTCTGTAAGATGAGACATGAAAAAAATTGCCTTCGAGTCATAGTATGTGGTGTGTACCAATCGTTATCTAATGCGTCGAAACTTAAAAAAACGAACTATTCACAGTCTAAATTTAAATACATAAATCCTATAACATTAGTTTGAATAGTTAATACAATAAACACATAGTTAGTAATATTATTTATGCAAACTTGTTCATTGCTGAACGTATGTATAAATAGATGCTAGGTGGTATCACATATTCAAGCGGAATGTGTATATGTACAATATGTACATGTACAATCCATATAGCGCTGTTTCCTGAAGTCTTGAATTAATTACTATCGTAGGCTAGGGGCGAGTGACACTGGATCCGCAGAATATGTACATACGTGGCGGTCGTCAGTGTTAACAGACGATTAATGCTCATATATCGGCGCCTTAGTTTATATGAACACACAGACCGGCTCAGATGATTGCGTAGTCTAAACATATGTTTGCTGTTATATGGTTTCATAGTTATAACAATATGGAAATACGTACGCATAGGTATGTATCTAAACACCGTCTGCGCGATTCCACAATACATAAGGCCGACTAATGCGAAATTCCTTTTAAATAAAACCGGTAATTTCCTGCTATAAAACATTAAAAAATATCTATCAATCCCCACAGACGTGTTTATAACTCACTCGTACTAACTCGTTAAGATGCATATTCTCGATGAAATCGACACGCAACAGAAACACAGATATCAATAGTTAATATTTGTGCCTTACTTGCAATTCTGCGATACTAAGTTTCCCCGTAATTTATATAAACATAATAAATATGAAAGTTTAGATGTACCAATGTTGATGTTTATCCATTTATCCTAATATTTGAACTTTATACGAATGTATGTTGCTTAATAACTCAAAAAATTCTAGGGTTTCTAAATGTTTTAACACACAGATAAATTCAATCAGAATCAACATTATATCTATTGACAGATTTTTAAAGTCAAAAAGCTTTACTATACCAATACAAAAATTTATAAGAGCTACAGAGAAATGTATGAATTTTTACGCATTTTGAATTAAGGTAATTAATGCCCATTTTTCTCTATTCCGACAGAGTTAATGTTTTTAACAAAAGAATTGGTTACTTTCCAGGGAAAGTGGATCTGGAGGAGCTTATATCAGCGTTCGCAGACATGGGCATTGCGGTTGGGCGAAACGAAGCAACTAATTTATTGAAAAGGTAACATAAATAACTACATTCACTCTTCTTGTGATGGCGACTTGTTGTCACGATACTAAGCACTGAGCGATTATTTTTGTGTATGAGTCTTCTTTATTTTTTATTTAATTTATATTTTGCGATAGCGATTGTCAGATGTCTATTCAAATGATATTTTTTTTTACTATTTCTGTTTTGTTTTATTTTATTTATAGTTTTAATACAAAGTTTGAATAAGCAAGGTCAGTAAATCACACAAGTAAACAGAACGTTAAAACAAATGTTTCAGAAAAGCTGGTTGGCCATTATTCTGGTGGTAAGTCGAAAAACCACGTGTAGTCGATGGCTTAGACTTGCTAAACATACGCTACGTTCAACCATCGCCATTAAATATTATTGCGAAATATTATAAATATCGCTGACCTGTGACAGACGGAAAAATTGAATTGAGTGAATTTGTGTGATTTGTTTTTGAAGATTTTTCCTCCTTCAGCTAATGTCTGTGAACACGAGTTGCTTGGACTAAACATTAGACACACACATTACTATATTCATTATACTTTTCTAATCTAAGCAGTTTGTTCAAAAAACTGTTCAGAGCTCACGAGCAATAACATGAAATCACGATTGCTTTACTTTCGTTGCGTAAATACATACACATAAATAGGATTCTACCCTAGGTAGGCTTTTTTACTGTTTTCTTTTCGAGTTGTTTGTGTTGATTTTGTTTTTGATAATAATTATTGGCTAATTGCTGTGTTCTGTGAACGGTGTTACATTTTTTTAGGAGCCACACCTAACTGAACTCGCAACTAGTACCGCGCCTGCGCATAATGTCGCTCATGCGTTACATAACACTAAAATTAGACCTAGCTAGCCTCATTCCGCATTAATGTTTCAGGCACATGCGTTAGTTATTCTTAAAGCAGCCATTTTATTTTTATTCAACGTTCTTTATTCAAATGTACTTATGAAACTAATTTTGTAACGGTAACTTTTTGTTTATTCGATTAACTGAAACTTTAATTTTCACACCTGATTATAATTCTTTTCTTGAAGAAGGCTTTGGTACCTCTATTACAAATCATTTTATAGTGGGTATCATAGTATGCTAATACTAAATATTTTAAATGTTATTTTTTATTAGAAATATTTATTCATCTTTAACGTACTGTATAATATTTTTGAAGGCAACTATGATTAATAGGATATTTGTATTCAGCGATTGTTTTGATTTATTTGTTAACGAATCAGTTTTCTTGCTACTCGGTCGAATAAGTTCTATGAATTTTAGTCCTTCGAGAACTGACAGATAGATTACCCTATTTAGCGGATAGACATACATATTATAACACTAGACCAACACAACACTTTTATACACTTATAGAGAAACTACCTTTTACCCGCGGCTTCGCTCGCGTCACAAAAGGATAAAAAGTGACATATACCCAATACACACAGCGCCATCTAAACCAATACTTTTGTTTTCCCTCGGGAATATCAAACTTTTCCGGGATAAAACAGTACCCTACTATTTAATCCGGACTTTTAACATTACGTCTGGAAAAATTTAAAGCAATCGGTTGAGTAGTTACGGCGTGAAGGTGGAACAAACAAACTCACTTTCCGATTTAATAATTCGATCATAATTATCATATTATTGAATTTAAACATTGACGTGTTAGGGTAAGACGTCAGTCGGTCACTTATCAACGGAAGAATTTTAAACATACATTAAAATTACGGCTTACTCTCGTAAACGTTCGAGAAAAGCTCTATTATATTCAAGGGACACCGGGACTCTTATTCATGAATACGCGTACGCATCCGCGCGGGTTATACCTCACGAAATGTATTACACTATATAGTTTTGATTATTGTAATTAAACTAATTATCATCATGATCAAGCTTAAAACCACTGAATCGAAGTTCAGTCTGCTTTTGATTCCTATAATTTATTGCAAAAGCAAACATATAATACTACTTTGCGACTATTAATTTATACAACTTAAAATATAAAAAAATTATTTAAAACTAAAATATTTACACCTTAAAAAAAATAAATAAATCATAAGGCATCAAAGAAAACATTTTCCTCGTCGCTACCGTGAGGTAGGGTGCCCAAAAGACTGGCAGCATTGCCACGTTGAATGGCAAAAGTAAACATATTGTGATTTTAATATCCGTATAGGCCTGAAGGTTTAAGACGCCTGCTTCTCATGCATGAGGGTGCAGTACCAAAACCTGGCAATATAACTTTTTTGAAGTTATAATTTTGTACTTAATATTATTTATACTCCATTTTTGTATCATGGCAAAGGAAAACGTGCGGAAACCAGGTCCTATAATTTCTGAATATGAAGAAATGACAAATCCTTTATTATTGTAATTTGTGATTACATTTGGGTGATCGTGTTTGGGGACTCCTTTTAAGCAAGATGTGCCTGTGCTAAGAGACCCCACTCTTCCATAGACATTTTTACAAAATTAACAATAACAATTTGTATACAAACAAAAGATATTATAAAAACATAACATCACGCCTTTTATCCCCGAAGGGGTAGGCAGAGGTGCACATTATGCCACTGTACTATGTAACACCAACTTTTCACTATTTATGTTATGAATCCCATGTAATAGGGGCTGAGCTTATTGCCATATACCGGGCACAATTCGAGACTCTATGCTACTACTGAGAATGTTTAAAAACCCCACTAATACTTTGCCCGATCCGGGAATCGAACCCGAGACCCCTTGCCCGGCAGTCGCACTTGCGACCACTCGGCTAACGAAGCAGTCTATAGCATATTATAAAAAAATATCAATTTAAGCTCTTTTGGAGTACAATTTGGAATACAGGGGGAATGGAAGAAGGGCTTATATAAGTTGAAAATTACCAGTCCGCCTTGAGCTATTGTGGTTGATTAATGAGAATGGGCTCAATTATAGGCTGCTTATTGCTTGAGCCTAAGGTTGAAACTTGTGTGAAATCACCCTTTACATATATGTATTAAAACCATTGTATTGGTAAGCTCTTTATTTATGGTACTTTATTGGTTTATATTTTATTATGCCGCTATAATATTTTTTTAGAATAGTACATTAATAACTCTATAGTGACACTAAACATTTATTAAAAATACGAAAACCATTTTGTCAATAACAGTAATATTAATATATTTTTTAAAGTAGTTAGTTCCAGATTTACACACATAACACCAACAGACATCGGTCCTAGCATAATACAATTGTTTAGTTTTGAATCGATATACCTAGGTGAAAGAAATAAAATTGACGAACAACATATAAAATATTCAGAATATTCTGCATATAGGCTGCTCTAGGCTTGTATAGATATAAAACATGTCTACTTGTTATACTAGAAATTAATCACGTCGGATTTTACCTTTTCTGTCAAAGATACTGGACTGAAATTATAAACATGTTACAAATTATTTCTATGTAAAATTTTAAGGTCGACATGATGAGTACCAGAAGACCATTATGTTGGAAAATTTATATAGAATCTGTATGTAGTGGTTAGGTAACCGCTGCTGTGTAACGTGTTGCGAATTCGATTCCCGAGCCGGCCAAAAATTGGCATTGTCTGAGTAAAAATGGCCGTTAGTAGCCCGGAGTCAGGATGTTCGGCTGTGTTCCATTCCCGTGCCTCGGAAAACATGTACATTGGTCATGCGCCTGATCTCTCTCGGGTCGTATCGGTCTGCAGTCCCATCGGGTTCATATTCATTCATATTCATATTTATTTAATCATTTGCAAACATAAGTATATAATACTAGCTGACCCGGCAAACTTCGTACCGCCTAAACATTTTTTCTCACCTTTTGAACCTGCCCTGGACTTCCATGAACATTCCAAGACCAAAATTAGCCAAATCGGTTCAGTCGTTCTCGGGTTTTAGCGAGACTAACGAACGAAAAGTCATTTTTATTTATATAGATGTAGGTGTTAACAAAGTTTATAGTTCAGTAGTTCAGAGAGTACACCTATATTTACGCACACACTTGTGCACTATACTATCTTTTGCGTAGTGGTCTAGTTAGACAGACTGGCCACTCTGATCGAAATCGATGGGAAATGTAAATGAATTCGTTCGTTAGTCTCGCTAAAAGTCGGGAACGACTGAACCGACATGGCTAATTAAGATCTTGAAATGTTCGTGGACGTCCAGGGATGGTTTAAAAGGCGAGAAAAAATGTTTTAAGGCGATACAGTTTGCCGGGTCAGCTAGCAATAAATATTTTGCAAAAAAAAGCAGCGGAGATGTCGGTAGAGATCGTCTTCGATACACATCGATAAGATAGGCGATATTTTCTCTGTCTCGTATCGATCTCTCATGCATGTGATCGTGGTCAGTTTCACGGTTACAGCGGCAGCTGATGATCTGCTTCCATCGGCTTCTACGTAGCGCATTTCACACTACCATGTATCTAAGATTTGGGCTGGGTCGGTCCGTCTTGATGGAGAGCGTCCGCTTGATCTATTTATCAACAACATCTGTAAGAAAAGAGGAATTAGGTGATAAATAAGAACCAGCACAAGCCACATTAAAATTTCCCTTAAAAATAATAGGTTTGTTTTGAAAAAAGTATGTATAAAAATTAATAGACATTTCATTTCTAGGTCCCGTTTTTATTGTTTCAAGCACAGGTTTATAGTGTTATAATCTTTTTATATGTCCAACTGCTTGACTGGAAACATTTGAGAATAGACAAAAGTAGGGTTACGAAAGATATAAGACCAAAATAGTGACGCCGGTGGCGGCGCCCTCTAGAGATGTTTTTAACCTGTATACTATTATCGGCATATTAGTCGGTATTGATATATACATCTGTAAGAATCGCAAAGGTACGAATAGACTACGACACGCAGTCTCTAAGTGTCTCTGTGTGAACACGAATGTCTGTTATTGGAAATTTTCATGTGACACTAACTACCTCTATAGTGTCAGTCGTTTTAACATCCAAGTGTGAACGGAACAGAGATCTTTGTACGAGTTTGTTTTACGATTAAAGTAATCGCAACGAGTAAACGTAAATCACTCGTAAGTAAGGTCTCATGCATAAAGTCAGACATATCTGCCACAATTTGTATCGTAGTCTATTCATACCTTAAGATACTATTTAATTTCTTCCTATATTTCTGGGGAAAAGGTTTCATATATAATCTACTATATAAAAATAAGTCGGGTTTTCCTTCCTGACGCTATAACTCCAGAACGCACGAACCGATTTTCAGGCTCCGTGAGGTTTATAGCAAATTCAGGAAAAAAATTCTTCATCTTTTAATCACCATACGAAATGTTACATAAAACGAAGCCATCTGGTGGCGAAACGGAGTTCGCCGGATTTGCTAGTTTATGTATAAATTTAAAGTAAAGACGTTTAGAAAACCATCGTCATCATATTGTCGTGCTAACTGTGTCGCGAATGGTCTGCTATCGAACTTGTACGCACTATGCATGTGCACTGTATGAAACACTGCACCAAAACACATGCACTTGAATGTTAGTTCAAATATAAATGTTTATACACAAGAGAAAGTTTAATAAGCTACAAAAAAGTAAAAAGTGCACTAAACTAGAGGTACTATAGTATCTATAATTAATATTATCTATTGAATAGAGAACTTAAATAAATTTGTATAAGTGATTTATAAGCAACAATATATAGTGATGGTCCTTAAATTGCTCAATATTGATAAATACATGTAATAAGTACCTAGAATATATTATGTAGAGATTATTATTTACTTGACCAAGAAATAAAATCTGAATGGATTATAACGTTTATTTTACTTAGGTTTTAAGCAATATTCTGATATATGTACTACACATTAAACATGAGATCAATATTATTTTTTAAATTACTTAATACATATCTAAAGCCTATAAGATCGTATCAGGAATATCTCTCGATAAAAATGCCAAAACATCATCCTTCATCTTCCGTTTCCCTCACTCATTGTGTTTGTCCCCAGGATGGACCAGGATGGCAGTCTCACTATCAGCTACGACGAATGGCGGGACTACATGCTTCTGGCACCGGCCACCGACATACACTCGCTCATACACTTCTGGAGACACTCTACCGTAAGTACATAGATTTAAGCCCCATTTTCGGTTGTCACTTAGTGTAAATGAATGAAGTATGAATGTGGTTAAAATGTGGTTTACTGGTAGTATTGACTTCTCTCTTGAATTTTTAACTCGGCTAAAAATAGTAATCACTACTTCAGTTGTCAATGAAAATATAGGCATCGTTTTGACTGGCAAATTATATATATTTCTTTTAAGACAGTCCTTTAGTTAAGACTACTATTAAATTAACCCTCATAGGGTATAGTACCTACTATACCTAATACTAAGGAAAAAACATGATGTGTTCAACAGTGTTCCAACAAACCTGGAACAGTAATAAACCATACAGAGGAAACGTTATTAAATTGTAGTATATTTACATTCTACACTGAATAAAGTGATAATGTATTGCCATTTATTTTTTGTTCATTAGTCTATTAATTGCCCGATCTTCACACTAGATGGCGTGAGTGGTTCAATGTTTAATGACGAAACTTAAGAGCTATGATCTTTCTGCAGTCAGTTTATAAATCCAATACTCAAAACCGTAATGAAATACGATTTTGAACCTTCACACCTTTAGTTAAGCACGTTGGGGTCAAAGTACTTGAGGTGAATGATACACAGCTATGAAAGATTAACTGCTGCGTATGAATGATGCATAGTAATGCTAACTGTATTTTGTTTACAGTGAGCTTCAATTTGCAATTAAAATGTTACAGAGACGAAATTGTCATTTTCGAAAACTTATAGATAAGGAAACAGTCAAAAAGTTGCGAAACCTCATATAAAACTTCAAGTTTGTTGACCATGGTGACTTGTCAGTTTTATTAGGCACTACAAGTTCATATAACAAAAAGTTATGGACAATGGATTCTAAGTATTGTGATATAAAATTAATCTCTTTATTATCGTATCGTTACGAATACGTTATACCTTACCTCACTTACTCTTGCCGGAGCTCAGGGTCGAAAAGCACGAGTAAGAACGGGGTGTTTTTAGTTAATAAGATTCCGATATTCCCTCCCGCATCAATGGGAGAACTCATTATTTAATTTTCTCCTTCACAAAGAATACTACTTTAGGGAAATGTTGCATTGTTACGCATTAGTAAGTATCATGTAAATATACATCAGATACGGAAGTTGTGGTGAATGACTTTATTTAAATCTGTGGAGTAATAATCAAGATCAATTGGTATGGGTCAAATGTATGTTGCCAAATACTGATACAAGTACCTGCATAGTACATAAATGCGTATATTATTTATGGGATAGACCGGCAAACAAACCGACCGATCACCTGATGGTCAGCAATCGGCGCCATAAACGCTCACAGCACCAGATTGGTTACAAGTGCATAGACGGCTTTTTGGGGTTCTGGAGTTTGAAGTTTGGGGACGGTTGAATTATTATATAGGTACTATAATAACTTGTATGTACTAGTATCTACCTATGCCACTGTGTATAAGATATTGCCTTAACTTTCTCAGTTATGATGAGACCAGACTGTCAATTTCCTAATGAATCCTATTAGTACTTTTCATTACGAGAAGCATAAAATATCAAACGAACAGGGGTCGGTGTGTATAATATTATTGAATGTGACCTGCACTGCTTGAATGAAAGGTGTTATTCACACACTGACATATATTTGAATATCAGATATCTATACGAATTGCAATATGACAATAAATTACATAACACTACACGTGTAAGAGATGCCGATTGATCGATGAAAACATTTCAGCTCATGTAGTTGATCGATCGATCGTTGTACAAGGCCGCTCGATTTTGTACAATCGCACACATCGATCATTACAGACTACTGGAGCTCAGACTGATCATGACTTTAATACTATTTCTTTGTTTATGACCCACCAGTTCTTCCTCGCTACTTCGTCTTCTTCGTATCAAGAATAAATTCCAATAGTATATTTTTATGAGATTAAGATACAAACAAGAAAGTTTACAAACTTAAATTTGTACAGATGTACAGAGTAATTTGTCGTTATCAACTAGATAAACAGTTTGCTGTTGGACTTTCACTAAACTTAAACTAATTAAAAATATCCCACGGAACCTACTTCTCAACTATAAATTACTAGCTTTTACCCGCGGCTTCGCTCGCGTCACATAAGGATAAAAGTAGCCTATACCAATCACACACAGCGACATCTATACCAAATCTTTTGTTTTCCCTCGGGAATACCAAAATTTTCCGGAATAAAAAGTACAATATTATTTAATCCGGACTTCTAATTTTACGTCGGCAAAAATTCAAAGCAATCGGTTTAGAAGTTACGACGTGAAAGCGGAACAAACAAACAAACTCACTTTCCCATTTTTAATAGTAAGGATGATCTCTGTGTCCTCATTCATCTCATATGCGTTCTGTTGCGATTAGCGTCAATATTTCGTGTTTAGAAGATTGAGATTGGGCCACGAACTATTTGATTGAATTAGGCCTACATAGAAGGTTATTGGCGCTACAATAAGGCCACTGCTCTTTCATATTTCAATGCCAATTGGCTCGTTGTGGCCGCAATATCGGGTGTGACGTATCGGCACGTACTTCGCTCATTTAATATCGTCACTCGTGCGTTACTTTCGAGTTTAAACCCGATATATCGAACCCGAATTATTCGACGTCTCATCAGTGTCCACTCAACCAATAAATCAGTTCACACTGATTTGTAGGTAATGTGTTCACACATCCTAGGTCTAAAATATCAAAATCTTAGTCAAATTTTGGAACTTACTAATTTGACTTCCATCAAAATCGAGTAGAATCCATCAAAAGAAAACAATCGATGGTGATGGTGATCAAAAAAGCGACACACGCCCACTTTTTCGAGAGTTTAATATTATTAGTCCCCATAGCCGTGGGCAATGATACATCAGACCATACCGGCAGCGTACCATACAAAAAATAGAAGGCTAACTAAGCAAGTAAACATCCAGTTACTTCGCAGAATTAAATGATTGCGAAACCGGAACATTGCTATTTGATCTCAAATATACCACGAACGGATATTGATAAAACTGTAAAATAAACAAGTAGAATTGATATAAGAAATAAAGAATAAACCATTTATTTAACATCATGCACGATGCCTCAAAAATGCAGCTGGTAACATAAAATGATAGGAAAAATGAATCTTTGCAATTTCATCATAGAAATTGGCTTAGCCATTAAACTCCTCGCGTTAAATGAGTGTAGATGACGCGAAACCACCTAAAAGCGACGTCCACTTCAAAACCGATCAATTTGTAAATAAAAATAAAAAAGTTGCCTCCCTGCACCCACACCACCACATCTGCATTTTTGCAATCTGCATCGTGACTCAAGTAACATTTACAATCGTTCATGCAATTTCCTGCTATTGCGTTTGATCTGAATGGACCGACGGAAGCAGGGAGGGTGGCTCTGATTGTTTGTGATGGGGACAACAGTTTTCATATTAAACTGTTTGTTTATTGGCCAGGGATGGATTAGAAATTCCAATTATCCAATAAAGTAATGGTGCGTAATTAGGCTTTTTTTAAGGGGGGATACTCATCGAATGACTGCTTCCGCCTGGGTGAGGCGGGAGGGAGTGTCAGACTCTTACTGACTAAAAACCACCCCGTTCCTTCTCCTGCACGTCGAGCCGGAGCCCCGGTAACCCGTTAGGTTCTCCGCGACGCGTAATTAGGCATAATAAATACGTTTAACATGTAATATTTAACATCATGCATTTTAGAGATTGTGTTGAAGTTATAAATCGATTTTAAAACAAATGCAAAGCAATCTTCATATGGCGAAATTTTAAAACGACAACGCGTTAATTGTGGCGTCCACGAAGAGTGACATCACAGGTTATTACTTGGCCCATGTGCTTGGTGCTTCTATTTAGCTCATTTTAATCTATTTTGTCAACTAAATAACATAAAATGAGGTAAATAAAAGCTACAGATATTTATGTAAGTGACAAAATACGTTTTTCTAAGTTCGGCCCTGGACGGAGGTGTGAGCTGCGGCGTACGTGTTATGAGGCGATATTTTCTTATGACGACGTTGTTCATGGCTTGTTAGGGCTGCCGCTTAAGAATTTAGGTCTTGTAATTTAGGATAAATAACAATAAAGTTGTTGTTTAATTTAGAATAACACAATACAAGAATTACTACAGCAGCTAGCGAGTACAACAATTTACGATCTCCAGAAATGTAATGGTGTCAAAAATTACAATATTACCAAAACCAATTTCATGAAGATCCACGTCCCCATTTTTAGAAAAACAGAGCATTATTAAATCAATATTATCTGAATTAAACATATTATCAACCCAATGAAAAGGTATACACTAGTAATTCGTCTGATACACACACAATCAAAAGACCATTAAAGAAAAGAAAACAAAAGTCTTCCTAATGGGCAAATAAACCAATAAGGATCGTTTCAAATATTCTATTCACTGTTGTATATTAGTTTACTGAATTTTGTCATAAACTTAGTTGATATTGGCATTGGCATATCTAGCCAAAACTGTATCACTGCCATAAACCGGTAATTTTATTTAATACGCTGTTGAGTCTTCCTTCCCGACTTATTAAAAGTGTCATTGAAACAAAAAGTAACTACACTGTTCTAAGTAAAAGAAGCAAAAATCTGCAACCTTATACACTGCTACTAAATTTAAGGTATAAAAATCAATAACTTGGATGCTAGGAGATTCTAAATATTGTCAACTTTTGCGTCATATGAACTGTAAATAAAGTTGTAAATTTAATCTCTCAATCGATATTGAGTGTGTACTTCTTTGTAAAATGTCAAGTCACCATGAGTTAACGACGGTAACATTGCCTGATATTTTAGAACTTTTCAAGAGCATCCAATATTGACATTGGACATAGCATTTTCATCATCAACAGCCTATTAAATGCCCACTGCTGAGCAAAGCCTCTTCTCACACGGAGAAGGTTAGAGCATTAATCACCACGCTTGCTCAATGCAGGTTGGCGATTTCAAACTTGTAATTAGGAATTATAAGCCCAGGTTTCCTCACGATGTTTTCCTTCACCGGTTGTCAGTGGTGTCTAAATAATCTTAGAAAGTACATATAACTCGGAAAAAGTCACATTGGTACTTGCCGTTGGTAGGTTTCGAAACCGCACCCTCATGCATGAGAAGTGGGTGTCTTAAACCTCCGGGCCACCACGACATTTATTATAGTACTTTACAGCATTTTATTATAGTACTTTTTTAAGGGGGGAATATCATCGAATAGTTTCACCCGCCTAGGTGAGGCGGGAAGGAGTGTCAGACTCTTACTGACTAAAAACCACCCCGTTCTTACTTCTACACTTCGAGTCGGAGCCCCGGTAACCTTTTACGTTCTAAGCGGCTCCGTATTGGCATCAGCCCTATTATCTGTGGTGCGCGGAACGCGACGCCGTGCGCTCGGGTCTGGATCTGGTCGGGCGGCGAGCTACCAATGCTCGCTATCCGCAGGCCCATGCTTACGGTGGCCGGAGATTGTCCCGCGATCCCTGACGTCCGGACTGTATTTCGCGACGGCGGGGCGCCCCGCCTCCTCCTTAGCTAGCATTTATTGTAATCCTATTATAGAATTAATATTTTTAACTGACAAATGAATCCTTTTCATTCATCTTAATGTCGTATATTGTCGTAGCAGAAGTATCAGTGAGTTG